CAGTAAATACCAGTACTCTCAGAAATGAACAATCTAACTAAAACATACACCCAAAATAAAGTGTGGGGTGTCKTTGTACAGTCAAATACACAAAAACAGTAACACAACTAATAATCTCATTTGAACAATGTCTGTATTTCTCACACATTCCTACAACTGAGTTAGTATTGCTAAAACAATACCTTTTTTATTCAAAATGACATAGAATTTATTTTAAGAATGTGTCAAGCTGATCACAACGGGACTGTTTCATTGTCTTTATTGATTGGTGTTAAAACATCTGACCACACTCTGCTCCTGATCTCTGCAGCTGACCTGAGCTCTGAGGTTTGACATTCTGATCTATGTGTCGACAGGTTTGTTGTATGGATGTATTTAAAGACTTAAAGTTAAAAAAAATATCTTAAAACACTGAAAAACATTTTATAAATATTGTCTAAATTATTGAAGACATATCTCAAAATACTTAAAAACATGTCAAAATAATAATTTTCAGAATAAACCAGAATGATTTTCTGCATGATCTAAAATTAAAAATAAAATAAAGCCTATCGTCAAATATTTTAGTAAAACTGCTAAATTTGACTATCGTCTTTGCCTGAGTCATACCTGGAGGGACGGTTTTGATTCGGATCGGATGCGGACAAGAGTTGAGGACTCCTCGAACATCTCCTAACGTCATGCCGAGTACCGGGGTTCCCCCGATCTCTAGCACGATGTCCCCCACAGTGAGGCCGCCGCCTGGAGCCGACGTGATGAAAGGAAACTCTCCATAGTCCGCCCCGCCACCGACAGAGATCCCGAGCTCTGCTGACGTCCCCAGCAAAGGGACGAAGGTGTCCTGCACGTTGGACCGCCAGTGCAGCTTCTTCACCGCCGTCTTAGACATGGCAAACGAACTGGAAAAAAGAAAAAAACAAAACAGGAAAGCAGAGGTGAGCAGAAGGAAGGAGCAGTGGGGGAAAAAAAGCTGCCAATTACAATCAAGCAAGGGAAATAAGCTGTGACTTCATGTAATTTAACCTTTGCCAGCCGTCAGAGTCTTCAGTCTGGGGAGTTGCAGTGGTTTTCACATCACAACGTGTAAAAGTCATGAAAAAGTCCCACTTCCTGTGTCAGGATTTACTAGACAAACGGACRGCAACTTGAAATTCAGGAATAAGGTCACACGTGAGCCGTACCTTTTGTTTTATGCAAACACATGAAGGACTCAACAACACGCTCTGCAGCCACCCAAATCAAACACCTCCCCCATGCTCCCGGTGCTTCTAGGCTGACGTTATGTTTACGTGTAAACAGACAGCCCAGGCGTTGGTGTGCATTCCAGCGCACAGCCGCATGGGAAAAGAGCATCGCATGAACGAGTGCACACACAGTTTGACTGGCAAGCCGTGAACCTGAGCGGCCACGACTCAAACATCTTGAGTTTCACTAAAATCCACCGAAACAGCTTGAATATAGAAGCTTTCGGGATAAGTCGCAAAATAAATACAGCTGTTTTTAACTGCAACGTTGAGTAAAAAACATAAGAAACATGAAGTGACACAGTTTCCATAAGTTACAGCAAGGTGAGAGGTCATAGGACCAAGTCACCAGAAACCTGGAAGTTTTAGGTGTTAAAATGCCTCCTGTAGAGCAGATGCGAGCGTGGATGGAGCTGACATGGTGACGATTTGTTTGAGTCGACCCTGATGTGACAGCTGTGATGCAAAACAACAGACGATGCTCCTGTGACAGGATCAGAGCAGCACTGTCACCTTAACACGCAGGATGACAGGAGCAAACACGTATCAGGATCAAAAAGACAAGCACGACATGCCAGAAGACAACGGAGATGCCACGGGAGAGGTGGAAAATTTGGGGAAAATAAAAGCAACCGATGAAAAATGGATGCCGCTTTCATATTTCTCTGTTCTTAATGGGACAAAGAGAAAGCAGTGTGTTTAATTAAGGAAGCTTTGTCAAATCATAAATAATATTACCCTTCATCAGTGGCAACTCAAGTCATTTTAGAGCCGAAGGCAAAACACAGACATAGAGTCTTGTAGTTATTTTATAACCAATATTAAAGTAGGCATACTTTTAAATCCTTCTTTTTCACACTTAAATCATTTATTTGGGGTCTATATAAAGTGGAACTGCAATGCTTTGGTCTGAATTCCTCCTTAAGGGCTCGACACACGGGAGGCGACGTCGCTCGCTCTCCATTCATTTCCTATGGAGCCTGTGCGGTGA